CTGCATGACATCAGGGGTAGGTGGAGGTGGCAGTGGGAGATTTTTCTTGACTCCCAAGCTACTACCTTTCTGTGAGGGCTGCTGAGTATGCTCTAAGTACACATTGCATACCACATTTCAGTGTTTAGCTATGGTCTGAAACTTGGCTTACTGTATAATGAAGAGTTGGTCATAGTAGAGCACCTGCCTAGCAAGCACAGGGCCCTGAATTCAATCCCCAATACCCTTCCCCACCCTGTTGATTTGAATGAACAGCTAGGTAGTGCTTATATCTCTCCTTGTTCTCTAGAGAAGCACCTTCTCTAGTGGGTGTTAGGAGAATAACAGGTGGTTAGATTTATTCCTTAGCCTTAGGTAGTGGCCCATCTGCTTAGAGGTAATGAGTAATCCAGAGGTGCAGCTAGAGGCCTGTTTCTCCCCACATATAGATGCTGGGTAGACGAGGTATGCTGGCACTGGCTTGAGAGCTTGGGATTTTCTGGAAGTTGCATAATATGCTATGCTTCTGTCTGTAGTCTGAGCTGGGAGCTAGCCCCTTACTCAACCACTGCCCACTTGGCATCCACCCACTCTCAGGTAGCTGATCAGTAGTATGTGGGTGGGCAGAGACACCAGAGCAGCTGTTGATGCCTCCTTTTTCCTCTTTGAAGAATCTGATGCTGCTGTTGAGGGCTACTTCATCTATTAAACCCAATACACTTGTCGCAGCTGCTAAGCCCCCGTAAGCTGCCGGGCGCCGTGTTTGTGATGGGACTGACAGTGCATGGAGGAGGCTGATTATACACGATTCCATTTCGCAGGCCCAGCAATGTAATTTCACAGGGCGATCAGCGTTTGCATGTAATAGCAGGCTGTGCTGAGGTGTCAGAATATTAAAGGCGCTAATGGCAAAGCTCCCTGTTACACAGGGGGCCACCCGCCGCGCCTACAGCAGGGCTGTGAGGCAGGCCCGTCGCAGATGGCTGGCCACTAAGCTAATGGGGCAGCAGCCAAGGCGGGCAGAGCCTCGAGAGGGGAAAGCCAGCCGGGAACAGCTCGGCACCTGCTTCCCTGCGCATGGAAATTACAGCAGCTCAGGGGAAAGAAAGTGTGCGTGCTTGCCTGGCATAGGGCTAGAGCAGAGTTGGTTTGGTAGAACCAGCATCCTTTAGCCCAGCTCTGTCTGTCCTCGTGGCTTGGCATTGGAGCCTGGGTGGACAGGACTCCAAAGCTTCTCTGGTCAGGAACCCCAAGAGTTAGGTATACCTGACTACACAGCTGGGCAGGTAGACCCTGATAGCTGAGAGGTACAGCTGGAGAAGTGGTACCCAGAGTCTGGAACCAGCAATGGGAAAGGGGTTCAGGCACAAGGTCTTGTAAGGGAGCTCTTAAAGATGATTCCTCCCTCATACCAATCAAAATTGATGGATATGCCAGCTTCTGGGCCTTTCACCCCATTTCCTATAGGCTGTCCAGAGAGAAGGAAAGCACAGAGACATGAAGCAGGGGGAAGTGGATGGGTAAAGATGAACCCTCCTGCCTCTGCCATTCTCCTTTGTCCTTGCTGTGTCATCTGTTCTCTGTCCTCCCCAGTACCGGTTTCTCTCTAGCAAGCTTTCCCTGCACCCTTCGGCCCCACCCCCACCTAAGGCCTGCCTGTCTTCATTGTCTCCCATGAGCAATCCACAGGTTTCAGCCTCCCTGATCCCTGGATGCCACCCTGACTATCCAGCCAGAATCCCTAGAGATACAACTCATATTACCTCTGCTAAGATTTGTAGACAGATAAGGAGGATGTCCAGTGGGAATAGGGAATGGCAGGGTAGGCAGAATCCCTGAAGGAAAGTCTAAGGCATATATGGGAGGATGAATGTATATGTGGTTGGGCCACACATGATATACATACTCACATGCATATATACGTATATATGCATACGTCTGTGGAGAGGGAAGGGCTTCAAAAGTGGGTACTGGAGTATGTGGGCATAGGTACGGTGAGGAAGTACATGTGAGGGTCTGGGAAGTACAACATCAGGAGCACGGGTTGCTGTAGGACCTTTTGTGTCTTCTGGGTTGCTGTGATTTTTGGTTATGCCTGACAGGTACCTGGTATGGCAGGAATTATGGGGGATTCGAGGTGCTGGACCCTAGGAGAGGATGGTTCTAGGCCTAAGCTGCTAGTTGTTATGTCCAAAGGGTAGGCCCTAACAGTGCATCAGTACCCGGGAAGACATGCTAGAGTTCTCAGCAGGGGCATCAGCAGGAGAGCCCAGACTGAAGGAGAGCAGTTTTAATTAACCGTTTTTAATATCATTTTGGACTTTGGCTGATATGTGAAGGCCCCGCTGGAAGCAGCATTTGTAAAAATTAAATCCCTCTTATTAGGAACTTGGCAGACCCATGTGCACATGCCACCCCTCCTCCACCTCATCCCTGCTCCCTGAGGAAGTGCTGGATGAGGCTGTGTCATGGCAGCAATGGGTTGTCAGGCCTTATTTGGGAATGTGGAACCGTGTGGTATAACGCCTCAGCCACAGTGGAGACACCAATTCATCTTACCCTCTCTCTGACAAGCTAGACCGCCCTTCCTGAAAGGCATTCATCAGGCAGCCTTGGACTGCCACCCTCCTGGTAGCTCTGTTCTCCTTCCTGGCACCTCAGCTTGCCCAGGTCCACCTTGGCCCTCCTGGGCTCTGCTGCCCTCCATCCCCCTTCTTCACATCTCAGTCTTTGGAGGATCTTTGGGAGTCATAATTACAATAATAATCTAATCATGGTGACGCATCAGGGCAAGTGTCTAATGTTATCTGGAGTGGTCTTCCCGCTTAGCTGTGATAAGACTCAGGATGACGTGCAGATAACGTTGAGCTGCCCTGTCCCTGAGCCCAAGCAGAGTGGAGGGGCTCTCAGCAGCCTTGCCGCCCGCCCGCCGCTTTAAGCCGGGAAGCGGCAGCACCTGCTAATGCAAGTGTTTAATATTTGATGGGCTGGGATAAAGCAGGATCACCTTCGAATTGAATTGAGTGTCAGCCGAGAATCTATTACTGAAATTCGGGTGTGATTTGACAGCAAAGTAGACGATGTTATTCTTCACTAGTTACTGCAATCTTCTCCCCGACATCACTTAAATATTTTTTTCTTTGCTTGAGTAAACACACATTATCCTTCTTTTTTTCCCCTTCCTTCCCTTTTTCCTTTTTCGAGGAAAAAAAAAAACATCCAGCTTGCCTTCTCCAGGCTGATAGAGTAGATTGTTATTTCTTTATTTGTCCTATTAAATGGAATTTCTGATCGTTTAATCCGGCCTTTGTAAGTGATTTTAAAGTACTTGAAAGGCAGCCGCCACTGCTCTCTGGCCCACTGCGTTCCATAGCCTGGCTATGCTCAGCGGTTCCCTCCAGCTGTGCCTCACCCACTGGCTGCATCCCCTTGATGCCTCTGTGCTGGCTCTGCCCTGGCTCTACCCACCCCTTGGGTCCCACACTCATCCTCCTATTTATGGGTACAGCTGTGACCTAGGAGACTGTGGAGGAGTGTTGCCTGGGAGTTGGGCTTTGGTTGGTACTTCAGGGTCAAGGAAAATGGTTTGGGAAGGTACAGAAGTTTGAGTATATTGACTCCTTGTCTCCTAGTTCTTGGGGCTGGAAGGTTGGTTCCCGCACCCAGGAAGGAAGGGTACTAGCCCTCTGTCAGGATAGACACTGTGTCTGGACAGCCTCTTGTCTTTTATATCTGACCCTATGCTGGACCTTGTGGGTCCAGAAATGAGTTGTGGGCACTATAGTACCTGTCTGAGCATATCACTTTGGTTTCATCATTAGACATAACATGAACTTTCAGGAACACACTCATGTTTTATCCCCACACCCACTGCAACACCTGCTGTTACTTTCCTGCCATTGGGAGAAGGGCAGACTAGTATTTAAGGGGATGGGTAATATTTAAAGAGTCAACTACTAAGTCCACTGGCAGAAGTCCAAGACTTTGTTGGTAGGCTAAGCCAAAACTAGATCCAATCTAGCCTTGTTAGTGTTCTAACCCATGTAAGTCTCCTCTCTCTGGGTCTGTTCCTTCATGTGTAACATTGGGCCAGGTATGCCTATAAGGGAAGATGTTGTCCCTAACCTGCCTCTGTTCCCCTCAGAAGGAGGATGCTGGTGGTGCAATAGGGAATGGAAGGGACAATGGAGTGCTGGGGGCTTGAGCAGATCGATGCCCCCAGCACTTCCTTCCCCAACCCCAGGAAAACAATTAAGTACAGATCGATGGGTGGCAGCTTTGAATATGCATAAGTGAGCACTTGACCTTCAACAGAGCATCTGCTTCACCCCCCCAACACTTACACACCACACACACACACACGCACACACACACACTTACTCGCATGCACACACGCACACCATGTACTACTCTTCTACTCGCAGCTGCCTGAGTCAACCAGATAACCTCACTCCCCTCCTCCATTGAACACACACATAACACTCAGAGCCCTTCACAGTCTTGCCTGCTTGGAGTCAAAAGCAACCTGACCATAGGCACGTCACTGGCTAGCTCTTGCTTCATTATTCCTGACTATGGAGTGAATTTTGGATACACTGATCTCCAGAGTCCTTCCTTAGGCCAGTCTTTCTGACCAGTTATACTAGGGGAAGGAAACCCAGAAAAGTTCTGGGGTTTCCAGAGATGTGGAAATCTACAGATGGGTATATGATGAAGGGGTGTTTTGATAAAAGGGAGAGCTCTTTCATAAGGAAGATCTTAGTAAATGGGGGGCTTTCTAGAGAGGACCCCTTGTAGGGGTTAGAGGACTGTGATGGAAAGAAGCCCTGGAGAAGAGATTCTGAAGAAAGATGGGGTTTTCTGGTGGGAAAGCTTTAGTGACAAAGGAATCTAGTAAAGGGAATCCCATGAGGTGGCATAATACGTTGGTTGGAAGATCTGGGGGCTGGATGGAACCTGTTGAGTGGGGTTGGTTCAAGGGTCAGGATCTCCGTTAACCACTCTTGCCTCCTGTCTTCCAGGCTTACAGCTTCGCCATGGGCTGCTGGCCCAAGAATGGACTTCTAGACATGAACAAGGGCCTCAGCCTGCAACACATAGGCCGGCCCCACAGCGGCATTGGTCAGTCCTTCCACAAATCCCCCTGACAGCTCGGTCAGTCCCTGCCCGCATGCCCCAGTCCCCTGGCATGCAGAGGGTTTATATAACTTATTCAGTGCCCCAACCATGTTTTCATCATAGCTGGGTTTGGGGGCTAGGGGGAGGATGGTGGAGTAGGACCATTGAAAAGAACCTCTCAGAACATTTCAGAGGGGTATGGGCTTTAGGTGACTCACAGGTGGCTTTGGATACAAGTCAAGATCCCCCTTCCCCATTGTCTGTATCCCTGATGGGCAGTGTCATCAGGGATGTAGGCACATGTTAGCTTACCCACCCCCACACCCTGTGTGGAGCTGGAGGAGGCTGTTTAATATTGTTTCAAGTCTAGCCACTAAACTGGACGATCAATGGGAGTTAAGGAGATGAATTATTTAAACCTTACCAGCTTTTAATTAGTCGAGGTCTTTCTGACCGATGGCTTCGTCCACGGGGTATTGACTCCCCCACAGGAGCAGCAGCCTCCATTGAATAGTGCCTGGGTGGGGAGGGGCCATTTGGGGTACGAGGTGGAGTACAGCTTCAAGAGGGTTCCTGCTTTGGGGAGATTGGAGTGACTGTAAGCTTCTGATACATCGGTATGCATATGTCTGTTGTGTATCCTTATGTCTGCCTATGTATAGCTGTATAGCTCTGTGTATCTGTCTGAATATAATGTGCCCATGATAGTGTGTATCTGACTGAGGGTATGTGTGTATAATAACATACTTGTATTTTTCTGAGGACAAGTGTCTGATTATGGAAGGCACAACCAGCCTGTGTGTATGTGTCTGTCAGAAAGAATGTCTTCATTTTATTGTATCTTTTTTGTGTGCATACACAGATGTGTGCATGTGATTGCTTTCAAGCAACTTCCTTGACCAGGCATAGGCTTTGTTTCAACACTTTGGCGGATCCAAGGTGTTCCTAAGTGGCACCATGAGCTGATTACTTTGGGGAAGGTATCATTCATAGAGATTGCAGGAAATTGGAAACACCTTGTACACAGTAGCCCCTTTGTCCATTCCACTTTCATCAGTGCCAACTGGGTGCTGAGCATACTGAGGGAGCTTATATCTTGGGAAGAGACAAAAGACCAAAAGAGGTGCTTGCCGGTCAGTATACTAAAGTTGATGATGAAAACACCTGCACTGCCTCAAGGGAGGTTTTTCCTGTTCTCAGTTGTCAAAGTAGCTTTTGCTTCATAATTTACATCTCATGTAAATATACGGCTGGGATGCCGTATATCATTCTTGTTGAGATACCCCAAGACCTCCCAGGGTCCAGGAAAAAAGAGGAAGCGGCCAACAAACCTCGAGACCTGGGGGTACCCTCCTTTGTTCCTATTCCCCCACAGAGGTTTTTTGGTGTAATCTACATAAGCCAACAAACCCAGCAAGGTGAGGAAGGTCAGAAGGAAGTTTCTCAGAGAAGAGGACACTTGAAATCCTTGAAGGATAAATAAAAATTTGCTAGTCAGAAAAATGAAGGAAGGGTATTCTAAGTTGGAAGAATGCATGTAGAAAGGCCTGGGGCATGAGAAAGCCCAGTATATTGAGAGAATAGGTTTAGATATCAACAAGTAGTTTCCAATACTGGAGTATAAAAATTTACAGAAAATCAACAGAAATAAGCAGTTTGAATTCCTGATTAAAAGTTGTAATTTGTGGGGGCTGGGAAGGTGGCTCAGTGGTAGAGTGCATGCCTTGCAAGCATGAGACCCTGGGCTCGATTCCTCAGCACCACATAAACAAAAAAAGCCAGAAGTGGGCGCTGTGGCTCAAGTGGTAGAGCACTAACCTTGAGCTGAAGAGCTGAGGGACAGTGCCCAGGCCCAGAGTTCAAGCCCCAAGACCAACAACAACAAAAAAAAAAGTTGTCATTTTTTGATGCCCTGAGTTCAATCTCTGCTACCACACCCCCCCAAAAAAAATAGATTTTATACCCCCTGGGGTTTTGAGGAGACATATGTATGAAAGAACAAGGTCAGAGCTCTTATTCACAATCAGGCAATTTGTGCTGCACAAATTAGTTCTTAGCATAGTTGCTTATTAAGTGCTTATAGAGGCATATATGAAAAGCTGGGTGAATAAATGAATCAATAGAAGAATGATGGGCAAAGGAGACACCAAGAGAAAGGACCAATGAGAAGGCCTACATTCATTTGGAGGAGAAAGAGCTAGCAGAAATGGAGTCTAGTGGTAAGAGAAACAGCAGGTCTTGGGTCACACACCCAACAAGGTCTTAAGCTTTCTGTCCTGCTTCAGAGTGCAGGTGCATTATGTCCCAGGTGCATTTGTAAGAAGTAGCTTCCTCTACCCATTCTGTTGCCCCATGAGATTCAGTGCAACCCTCTTGTCTGTTCACTCCTGTTGACTAGGGGTTAAGGTCCATCTCTCCCTTGTGGGAAGGGGGAGAGCTTAAGGCTCTGAGTGACATGAAGTCTTGGCTTTGAATGAAGAGGCAGCTCTGGTTTTACCACGTCCAACCCTGGGACTTTGGGTGAGGGGTAGTGCTCTCTGCCTTGCAGGGTTATTGGGAGAGGGTCTAGGGAGTGGCCTGTGTGAGGGATGGGGCAGTTCCTGGCTCACCACAGGTGCTCAGGGAGCTCCCTCTCTGTAGCCTGCCAACACCAGAGGCTTCCAAGGCATTGGTAGTTCTTGGCACTTGGTCTTTGTAGTCTTGGAATGAAGAGGGCTGCCCTGCCAACTCCCAGCTGGCTCTGAGGTGTGGGTGAGGGTGTTTGGAAGGGAGGGAGAATGCAGGGCATTAATTGGGCTGGGAGAGGTGGGGAGGGGAGGTGTGGATTTTGAGCAGTGAGGTTAATGGCCCTCGCACCAGAGAGACAGCTTTAATGAGCTTCAGCTGGCGGTGCCCTGAGTTACTATGCGTGCTAAAAGGGTCGCGCTGTAAGAGTTTGATGTGGACTGCTTCCTAGCCCCGGGGTCAGGGGTCAGCTCCTGTCACTGGCCACTCAGGCTGGTCCTCAGTGACATGGTGCTAATTAACTGTGTGAGGAGCTGCCAGCCTGGAGTAGGGAGTGGTATATGTGTTGGGAAGGGGGGGTGGAAGGGTGGTTAGACAGCATTGGGTACTGCTGGGTGAGGCTTATGTAGACCCCACATTTAGCCATCTCTAGGGTCTGTTTGGTTCTCCCACAGTGCCATGAGGAGTGATATTAGTGGTGTGGAGGTGTTGAGAGGGAGGAGGAGGCTTGCTGGGAGATAGAGCTGTAGGTTGGGAGAGGGTTGGTGAGACATTGGAGGGGAGCCATAGGAGGATTTAGAAAGGGGACTGACTCAGAATTATCCTTCATATTGGGCAATCTGTTACTTCATATTGGGCAATCTGTTACTCTGTTAGGAAGGACTAGTGAAGAGTCTGTGGACAGGGAGGCCAAAAGGAAGGTATAGTAAGGTAAGCAGGAGGGCTTGGGTACCTCAGAGCCAGGGTAGTGGCTATGAGAACAGAGGCAAGGAGCAGGGAAAGCTTTCTTTCATTAAACATTCACCTTGCATCTACTATATGTCAGGACCTATGACAAGAACTAGGAATGACTTGCTAAAGTTGGCACTATGCCCTTGTCCCCGGATAGCTCACAAGTGGAATTAAAGGCTTGGCCCTGGAGCCTGGTGGCAACATTGGTTCAGGGATGGCCAGGGAGGCTGGGAGGTGGGTGAGCACTGTTCGAGGGAAAAGACTGTTAGAGGCTCATAAGCAGGACATCTTAGCAAGGCGCTTCCTCCTGCATGCGGGATTGGCTTAGGGAATGTGGCACACAGGGTGGAGCTGGAGTGGGATGTATAGGAGGAAGAATCGCCTGCTACAGGTACAGCTACTGACTTCCAAGGCTGTGGAACTCTGATAGCATCCTCAGTTCGGGCCAAAGTCACGGAGGCAGAGTAACCTCCACAGGAGACTGCTGAGTGGCCCTTTTTTTCATTTCAACATAGGGTCAGCAGAGTACTGATGTTACTTTATATTAATGCATTTCATTTCACTACACTCTTGTGAAGGCAGGCATCTTCATTCTGTTCTTACAGATGAAGAAACAGGCTTACATAAGTAACTTGCCAAAGGTTACACAGCCAGTTGAGTTGGGGTGTCGGATTCAAACCTAGGTTCACCAAAGTGTAAGCCTGAGTTAAGAATCAGTGCTGATCCAGTGCTTTTATGGTATTTGTCTTTGTGCTACCAAGAGATGGTATTGCCAAAGACAGGCTCACTTCCCTCATTTCCCTCTGCATCACATGAAACACACACATTATGACAAAGCGTGGCAGCTGAGGAGGAAAGGAAAAGAGGCATTGCCATCTATTAGCTCTGCTATGGTTACCTTTAGAGCCAGGGCCCTGTGCCTGCTTGGCCAGGCCTCACTCTGACTCTGACAGTTCTCTCTCTGGGATTGCAGTTTCCGCTTTACCTCTTGGCCCAGGAAAATACTGCCCATCTTTTAGGAGCCACCTCCTCTGGGACTTTTCCTGGCCCTCCAAGTGTGAGTGTACAGAAGTCATTCTTGACTCCATATCATTTGCTGAGGCAATAATTGGGCAGGCCCTACTACTTGGCCTCTCTGAGGCAGAGCCCAGGTTCCTTCCTTTCTTTTGGAAATGTGCACAGGAAGTATCAGTAAAAGCTCACCTGCTCTTCTGACAGGGTGGCCCTACAGACTGCTGGTTTCCGCTGGCTGGGTGAATAACTGAAACCTTTTCTGATGCACCATTGGGTGGTCCTGCTGGCAAACTTAACCTCTTTGCTATGGGATTGAAGAGGGTCTTCCTGAGGCACACAACCAGAGAGAGACCAGAGGATTTTCAGGAGTTGCTGCCCAGCATAGTTAGGCAAGAGGCCTGGGCTGGTGGGTGGCAGGGTGGGGGCCTGGCCCCAGGGGGCAGTCCTGGCCTGTGGTCTCCCATAAGGAATGGGGTATCTATCAGAGTCCAGTCAGAACACATTAACTCTGCGACACAGATCTCATTAGTGCC